AGATGTTCTGATTATAATTAGATGCTCTTTGATACTCTTGGAATGAAAACAAAGCATAATTCCAGCTTTTTTCCCCCTACTATAAATAAAGATACATTTGACAGTCACCTTAAAGCTATGACTCCTTTACTAGTTTATAGTTTTTTCCTTTTTGTCTATAAGTTTCTTTTGCCCTACTTTATCTATCTTTACCCTGCAATTAAAAAGTAAGCAACAACAGAGTTAACAGGAAGTTCTCATGAATAAAACAATCCAATAGACATTTGTTTACTACTTTCTAGGTGCTGTGTGTGTAGAGATGAGTGTGCAAAAACAAAGTGAGGAAGAGAGAAAAATAAATAGGCAAATTAAGTATAATGGGTTAAGTGCATGTTTTGAGATAAGGACAGTGAGTTTGGGGAGCACATTGGAGAGGACCCAACCCAGGGAAGAAAAGAAATCCTAAGACACTGAAGTCCCAGCTAGGAACTGCAGATCATATGAATTTGGTCCCTTCAAAGAGTAAAGGGAGAGGGGACAGGGAGCAGCCCAAATAAAGAGACCACGTACAAAGATCTAAAGTCAGCACAGTCCATTCATGAGCCTGTATTTCAATAGAACATAATATGCTGAATTAACTACAAATCTAGAGTTCAGTTTCTTTTCACAGTTTTTCCTTGGATCAAGTCACTTCACTGGTTCTGTTTCTTATCTACAAAATGGAGACCATCTGTGGCCATACTTGTTATATAATGATAAGAGTAATAGTAACCACCATTTACTGAATATTTACTAAATATGAAGCATATTTAATTATCACTTCAATCCATGAGGTGGCTACTGTTATTATTCCTGTTTTATAAATGAGGAAACTGAGGCTTACAAGGGTGAGACTTTCTCAAGTTTATACAACTCGGACTGTCAGGATTAGGATTTGAACCAGTCTATCTAGCACCGAAGTGTTAGGTCATAAAACATTAAAATATTGCATGCAGAAAGCAATGTTTAACTAGATGGAATCCAAACTGGACCTGTTAGTGTCAGCATAGCAGTCTATCCTTTTCCCCATGTGATCAGAGGCATAAGGTCTTGTCATGCTGGGTCTAGTGGAGTCCTATATATTTTATATAAATTTATGGTAATGGCTGTTTGGGAATAAAATGTCTATCCAAAGCAGATGACCAGTGATTATTAGCTTTGTATTGCATGTTGAGTACATTAACTGTAAATAAAACAATATTTAAAGAAAGAAAGAAAGCAGTGTTTACTTATGTGAATATGAGTATTCTTTTTTTATTTCCACCATAAATATAAACTTTTTGAAAGTTCTTCAACATTAACATCACCTTCACCTAAGTAGAGTTTTTTTGTTTTTTTGTTTGTTTGTTTGTTTGTTTGTTTTTGTACCAGAGAGGGATTGAATCCAGGGATCCTTAACCACTAAGCCACATCTCCAGCCCTCTTTTTGTATTTTATTTAGAGTTGTTTTATTTAGTAGTTGTTCAGGGCCTTGCTAAGTTGCCGAGTCCAAGTTTGAACTTGCAACCCTCCTGTCTCAGTCTCCCGAGAATACCTGGGAATACCTGGCAGTAGAGGTATTTTTATTGTGGTTTTGTTTTTTGCAGTGCTAGGGATCAAACCCAGGATCTCCTACATTCTAGGCAAGCACATTACTATTGAGCAATATCCCTTACCCTAAGTTTTTGTTGTTGTTGGCTTTAAAAAAAAAAATTATGAGACTGTGAATTGAATCCAGGGACACTTAACCACTGAATCATATCCCCAGCCCTCTTTTGTATTTTATTTAGAGACAGGATCTCATTGAGTTGCTTAGGGCCTCACTAAGTTGCTGAGGCTGGCTTTGAATTCATGATCCCGCTGCCTCAGCCCCACCTCCCAACCCCCCAACCGCTGGGATTATGGGCCTGTGCCACCGAGCTGTGCCACTAAGCTGTGCCACTGAACCGTGCCACTGAGCCCAGTCAAGAATTTAAAATATATATATATATATAATCAGTTAAGTACCCATTTTCATGACAGGCCCTGTTTGAAGCACTTTGCCTTTGTGATGTATTAATTCTCCCTCCTCTGAGAAGTAGATATTATCCATTTTTTACAGATGAGGAAAACCAAAGCTCAGAGAAGGTAAATTTCTCAAAGTCACAAAACTGCTAAAAGTTGAAGGCAGAATTTGGAATTGAATGTATCTAGATCCAAGGCCATGCTTGTATCATGTTGCCTCAAGATCTAAGTATCGTAAAATAAAGAGTCAAAAACAAAGTCACATTACAACACAAAATAGTTATGTCCAGCTAATAGAGAAAAAAATCATCCTGATTTATAAGGCACTTAATTTTCATCCTTGAATCTAAACATACTAGAAACTCAAACTAGGCTAAAGAAATAGTTGATTTACAAATGAGAAACTACAATATAATATTAAAAGGTTAGAATTATGTACAATAATTCTATTTATGAATTACTGATTGTAATCAATAAGTATATTAATTATATTTTCAAATAGCATTTTGAACCTTATTTCATATATCTTTTCTTCCACAGAGCTGGCACACAAATGAGAAAATTTTTCAGTGGGGACATCAATTACATTTTTATATAATATTTTTTATTATTATTCATTGTTGTTCAAAATTTTAAATAGCCATATCCTTCTAGTTCATAAATATATTATAATTCAATTAACTGTTTTTTTTTTCATTATTGTACATAATTCTAACCTTTTAATATTATAACTCATACTATGACGAATATCCTTGTAGATGAATCTTTGCCCTCCTATCACGTTTGTATTTTAAATTAATTTCTTTTAAAGGCACAGTGTGGGCTGGGGGATATAGTTCAGTTGATACAGTGCTTGTCTCGAATGCATAACAACACCCTGAGTACCCAATACAGCCAAAAAATAAAAAATAAATAAAGGCACAATAGACTTCACCCAAATAAGTGGCTCCAGTAGGGACAATCTCAGGCTCTGGCAAGCATGTGGAAAAAATATTTTGCTGTAAGTGATCCTTTTAGCCATCTCTAATTGCCCTCTCAAGGTGACTGCCTACTTTGCCAACTGGGAGGTTAGTTTGGGATAGCACTATGGAAGTTTGAAAAGTAGGCCAGTCCTTGGGAAGCCTTAAGGGTGACTTAAGGTGTGTGGAGGGGTTATATTGTACAAAGAAAAGGAGATGAATGAATTTAGATAGGTTTCAACATAGAATCTTAAAGCCAGGAGAAATTTAGAAGATTACTTTCTTCTCCATCCTCCCAGCACAAGGCCCAAAGCATAGTACAAAGAATGACAAAGTATCTTTCTCTTGTTACTGTCTCTGATTGATTGGTGGTGGTGAAAGCATGGTGTGTAAGGCAAGTGAAGGTCAATGGGAAGAATACTTATAACAGTGAGCTTCATCTATTTATCATAAGAGAATGAGAATTAATTTAATTTTTAAGTTTGCAATTCCTCTAGTAAATGTTTAAATGAATAAATAGGTCTGAGATTAATAGTATAAAATCGGTTTTCATTATTGTACTTTTTTTTTCTTTTCTTTCTTTCTTTTCTTTTTTTTTTTTTTTTTTTTGTACTGGGGATTAAACCCAGGGGCATTTAATCACTAATCCACATCCTCAGCCTTTTTAAAATTTTTATGTTGAGATAGGGTCTATCTGAGTTGCTTGCCTCACTAAGTTGCCAAAGCTGGTTTTGAACTTGCAATCCTCCTGCCTCAGCCTCCCTAGGCACTGGGATTACAGGCATGTGCCACCATGCCTGGCTATTGTACTAATTTTTTTAGACTTAAAAATGTCTATTTTTTGAAAAGGTAATATATTCATATATTTAAAACTCATAAGTTAACTTAGTGAAAAGTCTCCAGCCAAGCTTGCATTCTGCTATATTCCCTTTTAACTAATATTAAAGAAAAAATTTTAAAGCCTAGGCTCTAACTCACCTTTTTTTTTTGGTACTGGGAATTGAACTCAGGATCACTTAACTACTGAGACACATTCCCAACCTTTTTTATTTTGAGCCAGGGTGTCACCAAGTTGTTCAGGGCCTCACTAAGTTGCTGAGGCTGGACTTGAATTTGTAATCCTCTTGCTCAGTCTCCAGAGTTTCTGGGATTACAGGCATGCTCCATGGCACCCAGTAATATTTTTTAAATTTTCTATATATCTATTGTAAACAATGTTAAGAGGAGAGGGTGGAGAGCAAATCTGTGTTTGCATATCCAAAAGACATTTATTTTTTCTCTCTCCCCCTATCTTTTTTCATTTTATTTTTTTATTTGTTCTTTTTAGATATGAATGACAGTAGAATGTATTTTGACATATTATACATACATGGAGTATAACTTATTCTAATTATGATCCCATTCTTGTGGTTGAACATGATATGAAATTACACTAGTCATGTATTCATATATGAACATAGGAAAGTTATGTCCAATTCATTCTTCTATTCTCTCTCTTTTCTTTCTTTTTAGTGCTGAGGATTAAAAAACCAAAGTCTCACACATGCTAGGCAAGTTCTCTACCCACTGAGCTATATCCCCAGCCCCAACATTATATTTAATATCACTATAATTATACCATAGCTTTCACAATTGAAATTGCATTTAAAAAATTTAATAAAACAGTAACTTCTCAGGCTTTTATTTTCAATTTCAGGGAGACTTCCTTCAATTTTTACTTATTTTATAATTGGCAAGTAATCTTTAAGTCCTAAATTTTGTAAAAGTGTCAAAATGAGGTGATTTTGGGCTGGGGATGTGGCTCAAGCGGTAGCGCGCTCTCCTGGCATGCGTGCAGCCCAGGTTGGATCCTCAGCACCACATACAAACAAAGATGTTGTGTCCGCCGAGAACTAAAAAATATATATTAAAATTTTTTTTTAAAATGAGGTGATTTTTATTTTGAGTTCTAAGTGCTTAAGAATATACATCATGCTGTAATAAATATAGACATTACTTCCTAGAAGTGATCCTATTTTTGTTATTATTGTTTTGTTGTAGCATGCAAGACGACAGCATAGAAGCTTCTACTTCCATATCTCAACTTCTAAGAGAAAGCTATTTAGCTGAAACCAGACATCGGGGAAACAACGAGAGGAGTCGAGCAGAACCTTCCTCTAACCCTTTCCATTTCGGCAGTCCCTCTGGGGCTGCTGAAGGAGCAGGAGGCCAAGATGACCTTCCAGATCTTTCAGCCTTTCTGAGCCAAGAAGAATTGGATGAAAGTGTCAATTTGGCAAGATTGGCAATCAATCATGATCCTTTGGAGAAAACAGATGAAGCCCAAGCTAGAAAACGTTTAGCTTCTGATCAGATGAAACACTCACCTAAATCAAGTTTTGAGCCTAACTTCTGTCAGGATAACACTCAAAGTCCTACCAGCTCTAAAGAGGACCCCCAGGAGGCAAAAAGGCTACAATATAGTTCTGAAACCCAGTCCAAAAAAGTATTCCTAAATAAGGCAGCCGATTTCATTGAGGAACTTTCCTCCCTTTTCAAGGCCCATAGCTCCAAGAGGATTAGACCTCGTGCCTGCAAAAACCACAAGAGTAAACTGGAATCTCAGAACAAAGTTATGCAGGAAAACAGTCCCAGTTTCTCAGATCTGTCAGAAAGACGAGAAAGATCTTCTGTTCCCATCCCTATCCCTACAGATACCAGGGATAATGAAGTGAATCATGCCCTTGAACAACAGGAAGCCAAGAGGCGTGAAGCTGAGCAGGCTGCTAGTGAGGCATCTGGTGGAGACACCACCCCAGGGTCTTCGCCTTCATCTTTGTACTATGAAGAACCTCTGGGTCAACCTCCCCGGTTCACTCAAAAGTTACGAAGCAGAGAAGTTCCCGAAGGATCCCGAGTACAGTTGGATTGCATAGTGGTAGGAATTCCACCTCCTCAAGTAAGGTAAAAATGTCCCATTAGTAATGTTTGGCATGGTGCTTTCCATCTACCATGATTCTGCTAAGTGTGACCTGTTAAGTATGTGGTTTCAGAAATTATATATACTTCCTTTGAGAAAAGTAGAAAGTGTCTAAAAAGCTCTGTTTAAAAGAAAAGAAAAATAATATTAGCAATGTATGTAGTTTAAAATTTTCTAGGGCTGACATGGCTCATGCCTGTAATCCCAATGGCTCAGGAGGCTGAGGCAAGAGAATCGCAAGTTCAAACCCAACCTCAGCAATTTAGCAAGACCTTGTCTCAAAATAAAGAATAAAAAATGGATTAGGGAAGTGGCTCAGTGGGGGAACCACCCTGGGTTCAATCCCTGGTACAATAGATAGATAGATAGATAGATAGATAGATAGATAGATAGATAGATAGATAGATAGATAGTTTTTTTCTAGGGCTGAGGATGTAGCTCAGTGGTAGAGGTCTTACATGAGGCCTCATGCATGGGGCACTGGGTGCAATCCCCAGAACTGTAATCAATCAACTAATTTTCTACTTTTCATTATTTTTAAAAAATAAAAATAACTAGGTGAGACTAAGACTAATAATAAACCTTATTTAGCCAGTATATTAAAAAGATTTCAAAATGTAATTATCTAATCAAATATTTTACATTGTATTCTTTATGCCAAGTATTCAAACCACTGTGTGAATTCTATACTTATAGCCCATCTCAATTTGGATGCTAAATTTTTCTAGGAAAAACTTATTTTACATTTAAGATACCTGTTGTTTTGTTTTAGAATATTCAAGAAAGCCAAGTGGTAGGATAAATACAAAATAAGGCTGTGGTTAACATCAATTTAAAGACTCATTTTACATGTAATATATTTATTGTAAAGTTTTGATTATCAAATTAATGAACACTAGTCTGTCTAGTTCCCAAGTCTTTCCCTAATATGACTGATTAGTAGAGGGAATATTCATCTCCCACTTGCCCACTAAAGTTAGCTTTTCTCTGAGGCAGACAAAATATAAACTTAGGCCTCCTGCTCTGCATAAGCTATACCTAACTTTGTGTTCTGATTTTATTTTGTATTTTTAAGGATCTCTCTCTTTCACATTTATGGTTCTACAAACCTGGAACCAGCCTTAGTCCTCAGGGTAACATTTGCTGCCTCTTATAACACGTGAATAATGTGGTTGAAGTATCTTACTTTAGTAGACAATTACTGGTACTTAGAGTTTTATAAGAGTTGCTTGCTTTCCTAACCACCTAATTACTCCTAGAATATGACATCTGATATAATACTCACATTATAGAATATAGTATTAATACATTTATATTTATCATTATAATGTAATTAATATTTTATATATGCATACTATTTCAAGAGAATCTGCCCCAAAGACATACTCATATATTGAAATTTGTTTTCAAATATTATCAATTTCATAAGATATATCAAATATTATTTCTACAGCAGCACTGCATTTTATTATCAGGTTTTATTATCTCTTCCTTGAGGGCAAAATTCTGGTGTTTCTGTCTTTGAATCTTGAGTACCAAGCAGAGTCTGGCCCATAGTAATCACTCAGCAAAATTAATGAATAAAGAAACAGAAAAAAAAGACTATATTTTCAGGGATCATTTCTGTAGTTGAGTACTAGAGAAGTTTCTCTGGACACGTAGAGCATCAGAAACCAGGAGGACCTATAGCATCCTCTCTTAAGTGTGAAGCTGGCTCTTGATGTTGCTTCATTGCAACCTCCATTTACTATTGGTTATTATTGTTCTCCTTGGAAGAGTAAAGGGGAAGGACACCAACTGAGTGCTTTTTTAAAAAAGAAGAAGTTGGGAGGCTGAAGCAGGAGGATAGCAAGTTCAAAGCCAGCCTCAGGAACAGCGAGGCCCCAAGCAATTCAGTGAGACCCTGCCTCTAAATAAAATACCAAATAGGGGTAGGGATGTAGCCCAATGGTCAATACCTGTTACCAAAAAAGAAGGAGGAGGAGGAGGGGGAAGAGGAGAAAAACAAGAAACTCAAATTTAAATCAGGAGTGAGATAATTGGCTTAGGATGTGATTGCCCTTCTACTGTAAACAAGCCTGATGAAGGATGCTCCCTGCGACTCTGGTCAGACCAGATCATTCAGGGACTCATCCTTGCCATTTCTCAACCGTGACAATTTTAGATACAAGAATGAATTCAGTCAGGTGTGGTAGTACATGCCTGTAATCCCAGGGGAGGCTGAGGGAGGAGGATCACAAGTTCAAGGACAGCCTGAGCAACTTAGTGAGACTCTGCCTCAAAATAAAAAATAAGAAGAGTTAGAGATGTAGCTAAGTGATAGAGGATACCTGGGTTCAAATCCAGTATCAAAATAAAGAAAGAAAGAATAAATTCGGTGCACCCATGAGAAAAATAAAATATCAGCCAGGAAAAACTATAAAGTACCCATTCCCTGAAAACAAAGTCATCTTATAGCAAGTCAAAAACTACTTAATCAACCAAGTAAAAATTTACAAATCTACAAATTTGAAAGTGAAAGAAAAATACTCAGCTTTCATGTGGTAATGTTAATTTTACCTGAGAAGAATTTCATTACTAATTAAATTTATATCTATACCCCAACCATTGATTTGATTCTAGGAAACTAGTAGGAACTCACTAAATTCATTTCTGAATGATTTTGTACTTTATTTCATGACTACAGTTCAATTAATACAAAATTTATAATTTTCCATATGGGCTAATAGCTGTCACTGTTTTCTTAAGCACAGAATTTATACAACTTTAATCAGAAAGCAACTATTTGTTTAGCTTTTAATTTGCGCTCGGCAGTGTTGTCAATATAATGATGCAGATGATACAAATACGTGTCCCTGCCTTCAAAGAGTTTGCAATCCAATTATTTAAAAAATCACCCTAGTTTTTATCATACATAAATCTTAAGTAGTATTAGGCTAGGGGAACTAGAAAAATCAAAGAAAGTTTCAGAGACATAGGGGACTTTTAGTTGAATTTTGAAAAGTGAAAAGAATTTAGGTAGAAATTAACTCATTTAATTCAACAAATATAGAGTTACTAAACCATTCACTGGGAATACAAAATAATCATGAGTTTGGGAGGTGAGGGACCTTGTTTTAAAACCAAGTCCCAACTATGTTGACAGGCTAATTCATAATCTAGTACAAAAACCAGACAGATATGTAATCAAAGCACTTTTGATTTGCAATATTGTATAATAAGGGCTATAATAGAAGTGTGTACTGGACGCAATGGTGGCCCAGAAGAAGATGTGAGTTACCTTGCCTGGAGTGCAAGATAAAGGAACATTAAGGAGGTGAAGGAGGCTAACTGTAGGAGAAAGCAAGTGCAAAAGACCCAAAGCAAGTGTTCTCAGGGAACCCCAAGGACTTGACTATATTGAAACCAGGGTAACAGGTAAGGAAAGATTAGAGATAAGATTAAAGAGGTGGGTGAAAATGATGCGTCCTTTCGGGTCAGGTCAACTCAACATGATTATATAAAGTCACAGATACTGACACTGACATTGTAATCATCTCATGTCCGTTGGGACTGGAATGGGTACAGTGGGACAGAGAAAAGATGTTAATGATCAATATTTAGAAGAGAAGAGGCAATCATCAAGTTGAACTTGGTTATTAACTAAATGGGAAGGTTGAGTAAAAAATTTACCCCATAAGTTTGAAACCGGGTACCTGAAACAGAGATGGGGATCACTGGCGAGTACTGAGAAAATGGAAGAGGTGTCCAATTTGTGGAGGAAGCTGATGGAAATTTGAGTCTGAGGGGTGAAGGGAACATATCTAATAGGCAGTCAGAAATTTGACTGAAGGTCAGATGAGAGGATTAGAGAACTAGAGCAACCCAAGGAGTAATCTGGACACTGGGAAAAGTCTTCCACAATATCTCTGTGCCCACATACAAAGATGTTGAGTCGATCTCATCAAAGGGATTCATCTATTCCATCATCACCCTGTGTTCTTGACATAGCTAAGTACTTGTGGTTTCCTGATATTTACAGAGGGACACATAATATTTAAAACCAACTTCTAGTTGGTTCCGTCTAGTGCTAAAGTGTTTTCCAGCCTTCTTTTAACAATAGTTTTCCCCCCAAAACCATTGCATGTTACCTCAATCTCTCTCTCTCTCTCTCTCTCTCTCTCTCTCTCACACACACACACACACACACACACACACACACAAAATCATTAAATTATTAAGAAGAGTCATTTCAAATTGTTGAATAAGAATACCACAGTCAAGCCAGGCACAGGGAGACATGCCTGTAATCGTAGCTACTTGGAAGGCTGAGGCAGGAGGATCAGAAGTTCAATTTAGCAAGGCCCTAAGTAACTCAGTGACACTCTGTCTCTAAATAAAATATAAAAAGAGGCTGGGGATGTGGCTCAGAGGTTAAGCACACTTGGGTTCAATTCCCAGTACCAAACAAACAAACAAAAAATCACAGTCAATAAGGACACTAATGTTTTACTATTTTAGCAAGAAAATATACATATACTTGGCAACTATCCATATGCTAACCCATGTGTTATCAGTGTTTTACCCATGTTCTTGTGACACTAGTTTAGCAAGTTGAAAAATCATTTTTGCTTATATTGTTGTTGATTTCCAGGTTAATTGAGATTGATTTATAAGTAGAAGCAGGATCCTGAATGATGGAAGCTAGTGTTTTTCAAAGCATGTTAATTTTGAATTTAGTTTCATCAGAGGCCTTGTCTTAGAAAATGAAATACATTCATGCGTTAACCACAGATGAAAGAGTCTGCAAGAATTCACAGCAAATGGCCATGATCCCTTTTTGTATCCTGATGCCAAATTCTTTTCCCAGGAATGTACAGCTGGGTCACTCTGTGTTTGCTTGTATACAACCTTCTGAGACAGTACCAATTTACCTTTTTATAGATAATGATGGCCACTGTGTTTTGTTTTTGCTACTTCATTTACAGTCCTACAAGTTATGTGC